TCCAAATGCAAAAGAAGACAGGGCTCCATTTTGTTGGTGTTAGTAGTTCTGTAGAAAAGGGGATTTCAGTAGGTACAGCAGTGCAGGAAACCTGTTCGGCTTTGCAACTGGACACCCTAGCAATAATCACATGGCAAACAAGAACAAGCAAATTCCTCTTCTTCTTTTTTCAGTGTTATGGCAAACACCATGCTACCCGTGCAGTGCCAGATTTCTGTATAAGCTAAACAAGCTATAGCTTAGGGCCCCACTCTCCTGCCCCCCCCAAAAAAAAATTAAAGGAAAAACACCTGGATGCACAATTCCAAAATATAAGATAAAAACCAAATAAAACAAAACCTACATACAGCAACAGTGTTTTGTGTTGTGTCGGCTCCTACGATGTAAGTCATGGGCCCCGCCTGCTTGCCTGCTCCCTAAAATATCACTGGTTTGCTCCTTTCTATATATAGGGTGCCTACATTCTGCATGGACTGGTTGCAGGGCAACATGTGCAAATGGCATGAGATACCTATGAGGTCCATAAATTACCATATAGCATATATTCAACACAAAAAACAGTGACAAATTGTTGTTGACAAAGGACAGCTGGACATATCAAGGGCCCCATTACTACCTTCAGTAGTTTAGGGCATCATCAAACCTAAATCCGGCCCTGTACCCATGTCTGTGACAGTGTGGAACACTGGTTAGTGTGTTGAACTAATTCCTGGGAGACCAGTGTTCAAATCTCCACTAGGTCAGGAAGCTCACTGGGTGACCCTGGGCCAGATCCTGGGCCTGGTCTCAGCCTAATCTACCTCACAGGGCTGTTGTGGGGATTAAAGGAGGAGGACGACCATGTTCTCCTTGGGAGAAAAGTTGGGATGGAAACAAAAAATAAATAAAACTGTGCTAGCTGTAATATAATGGGTTGCATCCAACTAAATGATACTTTGAGTAGACCCATTGAAATGAATGAACCTAAGTTATAATGCGATCCTAACCATATCTGCACAGAAGTAAATCCAACTGGGGCTTACTCCCAGGTAACGAGGAGCTTAGGGCTGCAGCCATAGTCCTGCCCATTCTACTCTAAGTATGACTAACATTATACAACCCAATTATTCCCAGAATATAAATATATATATATTTAAGTTGCCCAAAGAAGAACAATGATAAAAATCGTACCACCTACAAAGAGCTGTTTCTCCCAAGGAGGTTAGAATATCAACTGATCAGCATGAGTGAAAGCCTGCAATTAACTCATTGCTAAATTAAATGTTGGACGTGGAAAATGTGTTTCGAGTTGAAAGGGAGAAAAGGCAAACATTCCCATGCCACACTCAAGTTTCATTTTAATCCATCCTGGATTAAAAAGAGAAAAAGACAGAAAAGTAATTATACAAAATAAAATGTTGCAACGAGGTGCCTTTCTTTCTCTTTAATAAGATCCCAATGCGAAGTCTTCCAATCACTAGTCTAAAAAAGAATGGCAACTCCAAGCAACTCAAACCCAATGGCATTTTTCAAAGGCCACCCCCCAAAGGCAAATTTATGGAAGAAGAAGAAGAAGAAGAAGAAGAAGAAGAAGAAGAAGAAGAAGAAGAAGAAGAAGAAGAAGGGAACAAAACACATAGAGAAAAAGGTTAATTGGGATTGTACATTTATGTGCATCCTTCCACCCTCCCAAACAAAATTAAATTTCTAAAAAACCAGGGGAGATTCTGTAGTGCGTGTATTTGCTTATTCACTAATAAATAATTTAATTATCACTCCCTATATCTTTCCAAGAGGCAAAACAGGAGTAGGAATGAGAGCAAACAAGCAGGAGTCATGTCAGAAGACAAGGACCAGCTGCTGCTGCTGCTGCTGCTGCTGCTACTATACGGAGAAGATGCCTTCAGTTCTAGTGGTGGTCCCCCCCCCCCCCAATTTAAGGGAGAGCTAAGGTAGATAGGCAAATCTATGAATCTCAGTTTCTCATTTTTGCAGCCTTCAGTTCAGCTCTGTACATTTCTGTATCAGTTTGCTTTTTTTTTTAAAGTCCTCGCGAAAATTCACGTTTTAATGCAAATTTATCCTAATAGGCACCTTTTCCTACGGAAATTTGCCTGATTCACACCAATGTTATTTTCACTTACATAGCCACAATTCCCTCTTGCTATATGCATTTAGTTGGGGTGCTCCACCATAGGATTCCGAGAAATGCAGATTTTGAAGGATAGCTCTGTGTCAGTTCACACATCATTTGGGAAAGTCTGAATTGGATAGGTTCACATTAGAATTAGAATTTGAAGTGAACTAATTTTTTCTCCCAGACCTAGTGGCAGCAACTACAGCTCTATAACCATGTATATTTGTGAGATTGTGGGGTAGTCTAAAACACACACAATATTAATCACTCCAGTGCTTTTCTTCCAACCAGCTGATTTCAGCGTTTGGATCCAGACTGGCCAGGGCAGGGGGAATTCAAATGATCTTGAAGCTTTCAAGGAAGTAAGACAGGAGAGGGAGAATTGCACTTTCTTCCTCCACATGCTCCTCTTAATGTTCAGATCATGAAACAAATGGTTAATGATTGAACAAGTTTTCCCAGGGCAAAATCAGCTATTCAGATTAAACTTCTCGGTACCCTCTCACCAGTTCTTCAGCTCTGATCTGGCTGTGGCAAGTAGTGACTAAGACTGCAACCTTGTTGTATAAAGTGAGTAATAAATGTTGGAAATGTAAAAAAGGAGAAGGAACATTTTACCATATGTGGTGGGAATGTAAAAAAGTGAAAAACTTCTGGGAAATAATATATAACGAGATGAAAAAAAATGTTGAAATATACATTTATTAAGAAACCAGAAACATTTTTACTTGGCATTGTAGGAGATGATATAAAAATAAAGGATTGTAAATTATTTCTATATGAAATGACGGCAGCAAGAATATTACTGGTACAAAATTGGAAACAAGAAGAATTACTGACAAAAGAAGAATGGAGGATGAAACTGATGGACTATGCAGAACTAGATAAATTAACAGGAAGAATTTGAAATCTGCGGGGCCAGAGATTCACAGAAGACTGGCATAAATTTACAGATTATTTGGAGAGTAATTGTGAGGATCATATTACGTTCGTAGGTTTGCAGAAGTTTTGTAAGGTGAACTATTTGAAACATTGCAAAAAAAAAAAAGGATAACGAGGGGGACTGTTAGTTAAGATAATTAAAGGCAATAGGAATTTCAGAAATGCAGAGTAAGTGATAAGAATGGAAGACCATCAGAGGGGCTGATGGAAGTCCAAAAAGATTGTATAAGATGCGAAGTTCTGTTGTATGAATGATAACTAATATGTAAAAATCAATAAAAATTATATATATTTTTTTAAAAAGAAGACTGCAACCTTGTGCACACTCAACCTGAGAGTAAGTCGCAGGAAACACTGTCAGATGTCAATCCAAGCAAACAAGCATGGGATTGGGCTGTCCCATTGAATGTAATGGGGGTTAGACAGGTTATGATGAACATCCCTTTGCTTTCAATGGAGCATCATCTCAGCTAATCTTTCTCTAGATTGAGGCCATTATGTCTTGCAAATATTCCTTAGGGAATAGCAGCTTGCGAAACGTCTAAATGGCACACATGCACCTTGCCTATGCTTCATCAAGGCAGGATAGCATCTTTTTAATCTCTTTCTGAGATTCAAAAGTTAGTATGCCTATTTCATTAAGCAATAGGTCTTTAAGTACATATTATATTATACAATCCCTTCCAGACTAAATATTGCACACACAAAACAACGCAGCGAGAATGCGAGTGCACCTGATTTTATTACCTCGTTCTAAATGAGTCAGCTTATTTATCCTTCAGGGGACAATCCCCAATGCACAGGCTATTGGACACAGCGGAGTTACCTTCCAAGCGAACATATATAAGGCAAATTGCACTGTAAAAGTCTAATGAAAACCCTAAGCGTCTCTGTGTCAGCCACAAACACAGCAACACCCACTGGCTTTTCAACTCCAAGAGCAAAAGAGAAGGACTCTACCAATAATATCCTAAGAGATTAGTAACGCAAAGGCAGTTGAGACCTACCTTCAGCGAAAAATCCCGGAGCCATGTGAAGAGGAGATAAATTGTGGGAACCGAAAGGAAATCATCCACTCATCTTGAGAATTCGGCTCATAAGAAAATGTTGTAAGAGCCCAGAAGCTAGTTCATGCTCCAGGAAGGGGGGGGGGGGGGACGGGACAAAACCTACCAGAGTAAGGAAGTCAGAGCTGATCTATGATTCAGCCTAACATCTGATTTGCAAAGATAATTGGGAGCCTGGCATTAAATGCATTGAGATTTCCCCACCATGTGCATACATATGTGTATTTATATACAAATTGTGTAAGCAATGCTTTTTAGTTACACACACACACACACACACACACACACAGAGAGAGAGAGAGAGAGAGAGAGAGAGAATTGTATTTTATTTCAGCAGGGTTGTATTATGCCTATCTGTTTATAGATAGAGATAAACTAATATATCTTCATTCTCAGGATCAGAGGTGGGTGGGGAACCGGTGATCCCTGAAACAAGCATTGCGTGAAAGTGCTCATTTTGGGTTTGCATATTTTGGGGAGAAAGGGACAGATATTTTGCCAGAAGGTGCATAAATTGCAGAGTTGCACTCGTGATGATAATGAGCACTACAAAAAGTCGTTTACAAGGCTGATTGCTCTAATTTTAAACCTGTTTTCAGCCTTTCCCAGTGATTAGCATTGTATGGAAGTAAAAAACGAAATAATACCACACAACACCAAGCCCCAGGGGAAAGACAGTTTATCGACAGAAAGCAGATTGCTGTGCGATCCTATACATGTCTGTGCAGGTAGAAATTCCATTGAGTTCAATGGGGCTTACTCTTGAGTTATTTTGGCATAAGATTTCAGTTTTAGCAGCATTTTGAGGCAGAAGTCCTGTACTCGTGTACCTGGGAATAAGTCCCACTGGACCTAATAGGAATTACTTCTGAGTAGACAGGTTAGATCAGTTGGTTAGAGTGTGGTGTTGATAACGCCAAGGTCACAGGTTTGATCACCAGATAGGTACCTGTTCCTGCATCGCAAGGACTTGGACGAGATGATCCATCACAATCAATCTCTGTATAGGATTGCACTCTTGGAGAATGTAAAGATAGGAAAATGGAAGATTTTCTGCTCTTCATTTTAAGGAATTTGCAGACCAAGTTCCCAGCTATGCTTCTGGGTATTAACAACTTTCATGAGGCTGAAATGTCATTGCAATGCACCATGGGGAGGGCAAATGCATTTTCACGTATCCCTCTCATTCAAAAACCTACCTCTGTTTTATAATCACCCACTTACATTTAACTTTCGTTCTCTCTGACTCATCCTTTTTAATTTAGTTGCTGGGATTTCCCCTCTCCAGCCCCTGTTTCAATAGTTTACCTGGGGTTCAGGCAGCTTCAATTTTTAGGGTTTTCAAGGACGCTGAGTTGTGCCAGCTGTCTGAAGCAAAAAATAAAAAATAGAAAAAACCAGATGAATACTTTTAGGAGCTGTTGGGCATGTAGGAAATTTATTTGTGAATTGTTTTTTAAGGATGTGCCAAGGCATTGCTTTAACGCTACTGCCATTCCTTGCAGGAGGAGGATGAAAATAGCAGAAAACCTGAATCCATCAAAGGTAATGACCTAGTTCCACTGATGTAAAGAGAGCAGAGGCTCAAGCATCCTGGCATATGGGGCCCTGCCTCACCAACCCCAGCCGGCCATCAGCCAGCCCCCACGTATTTGCCTTTTCCCTGCCAGCTCTCTCCTCCAGTGTGGTGTAGTGGTTAAGAGCGGTAGATTCGTAATCTGGGGAACCGGGTTTGCATCCCCGCTCCTCCATATGCAGCTGCTGGGTGACCTTGGGCTAGTCACACTTCTTTGAAGTCTCTCAGCCCCACTCACCTCACAGAGTGTTTGTTGTGGGGGAGGAAGGGAAAGGAGAATGTTAGCTGCTTTGAGACTCCTTTGGGTAGTGATAAAGCGGGATATCAAATCCAAACTCTTCTTCTTCTTCTTCACCTTAGTCTCTGTGTTGCCTTTGGAGAGCTCATCAGGGAAGCGGATAGGACCAAAACTGGAACCAGCTGGCTCAGCCTGATATAGGCTGACGGCTTCACCTATTGTTGTCCTCTCTGCCTTCTGACCAGCAGTCCCAATGACCTTCAGCCAACACTGGGCAGGGACATAGGAAGGAGGGGCAGTGGGGGCGGTTTGCCACGGGTATCATCCCAGAGGGGGGTGACAAAATTCCCCCTGGGCAGATCGCTGCTGCACCGATTGGCCCCCAGGTGGATTGCCACCGTGCCAATCACCCCTCGAGCAGATCGCCACCACACCGCGTGGGTGGATCGCCGCCATGCCAAATGCCTCCTGGGTGGATCGGCACTGTGCTGATCACCCTCTGGGCAGTGTTAGTTTCTGTTTCTCACTGTGCAGCTGCTGGGAGTCACAGGACTCTGTTTACATTCCAGAGACAGTCCAGACTCTTGAAAGTCTCACGGGAGAGAAGACGGGATGTGACGTTAGTGGTTTCCTGATTCCTTTGTTCCTTTGTTTCAGTTGATCTCTGCTTTCATAGAGAGAGGATGTCTTTTCTGTTCTGCGTAGTTTAGAAATAAAACTCTTTATAATGTAGCCAAACCTCTCGTCTCTTCCCTGTGCTGGGAACCCTGCTTGAGGCCTTATCAAAGGCTCAGGTCATTAAACACGTCGGAGGCGATTTCAAAGGCTCGGCTCGGAGGAAGATGAGGCCTTATCGGCTTGGCCAAGTGGAGTTCCGACAGGCAGATCACTACCGCAGCGATTGTCCCCCTGGGCGGATCGCCCCACCCCCGGGTGCACGGCATTTGCACCACTCTGGGTGCCCGAGTGTCTAGCTCCGCCGCTGACACTGTGCAGGGGGAATTAAGACAGAGCCAGAAGCAGCTTGTCAGGTGGTATGGAGCCGCCATGCTACCTTCCCAGCAAGTGGGTCATTGTGGCTTACCTGAAGGGTCAAGGGGGACAGGCAGGGTAGTCAGCCTAGTGCAAACACAGTAGCAGAGCCAATTTGGTGCTCCTGCACTGCGTCATCCTCCCTGGATCCTCTCTCCGTCAACTTTCAGTAAGCAACAGCGACCCACCTGCTGGGAAGGTAGTGTGGTGCAGTGGTGTTGCGTCCTTTGCTGGTGCCCAGAGTGCATGTGCGCATGCATGCACCAGGAAAAACCAGGGGCTGGGGGTGGAGGGTGAACAAAACTTGCTACACCAGCCCAACACTTGCTGCCGCCAGGTGGGTATAGAGCATGGAGGATTCACAGGGCTATGGTGTTCCACCTGCTCACCCACTCGGGGAGGGGAGCAGCCAGCCAATGCAGCCCTTAGCGAGCCTATTCTGATAAGGGAAGTGTGCCTTTCCCAAATTGTCTTCTGTTCAATGAGCTGTCCATGTCAAGTGTGGGTTAAAGGACGATATGAAAGGAGAGCAGGAGGACTGTTGTAGCTGCCCCTTAGCCACTAGCACTTGAATCAGAGGAGGAGGGAGTTTGGATTTGATATCCCACTTTATCACTACCCTAAGGAGTCTCAAAGCGGCTAACAATCTCCTTTCCCTTCCTCCCCCACAACAAACACTCTGTAAGGTGAGTGGGGCTGAGAGACTTCAAAGAAGTATGACTAGCCCAAAGTCACCCAGCAGCTGCATGTGGAGGAGCGGGGAATCGAACCCAGTTCACCAGATTACGAGTCTACTGCTCCTAACCACTACACCACGTTGAATCACCCACTCACAGTCTTCCCTACTGTATATAGTGAGATGTGTTGAATTCATAGTAGAGCAACGTTATTTCTAAACTGGCACCTATGCCTATAAGGAGCATACATAAATTGTATGCAGATCTGCATCCCCTTTCTTAGGATGATACATTTTCTGATTCTTGGCAATGCGTAAATGGCCACCCTGGCCCAACCCAACAAGGCTCCATTCACCGAATCAGCAGTTGTGGGAAAGGCGATTGAAAAGTAAGGAGCAAGTGCCTTGGATCCGGATCAGGACCACAGTGGAGGGCAAAGGAGTACATGGTCACCTTAACAGGGTCTCAGTCTGGATCAGGGCATTTAGCTTCTTAACAGCCATTAACATGACTGTGTGAATGGTGTCTTGTAGAATTTGGCCAATACCTCATCGCAGCTTTCTGGCTGTGGGACAGGGTTGAAGGAATAAAATCATTGACCAGGTCTGTAGCATCTTTCTTTCCCTTTTTCTACTTCCTCTGTAGCTCTCCATTAGTTAATATATTGAGACACAACAAACAGAAGATACTCCGCTTTTGACACCCAGCTACTTTTTGAGCATAGTACTAGCGTGCTCATTTCCCTGATTGTTATCCTGTGAAAGATACCATCTTTAACATTTACCGGTAGGCAGAAATCATGAAACCGCTTACCTGTGTATAATAATATTTAATATTTAAGCAACATGTTTAAATGTGCAGAGCACTTCACATTTATTACCTTCATAATCCAAACCACAAAAAGCAAAACACTGTCTAAGATGGCATGATGGTAGATTTGATTAAAAACCAAAAAATTAACAGGACGTAATGTATTTCAAGAAAGAGAGAGAGAGAGAGAGAGAGAGAGAGAAGGAGAGGAAAGGTTCCAACACTGAAGTTTACTTAGCTACTTTTGATTTATCACAAAACCTCACCTTGCATTTTCTATTATCACTCTAACAACCTGGGCCTTAAGCTGCAAAGATCCTGCTTGTAGTGCCATCAACAGCTTTAGGGTTCCTCCAGATGCATTTGCAGGATGACATGTGTTCCTAAAGCTATCAGGGTGTCACATGCGCTCCCTCATTCAAGGTTATTTGTGTTAGCAGACCTTGAAGCGTGGGCGAATTAGACTGGAAGAATCACTTAAAGTTTCTAGAGTTAAAAGGCTTTATTCATGCAGGAACTATTTATAGGATGAGTAGACATAAAAAGAGAAATAGTAGATATCTTGTCTGGAGAGAACAAACAAAATGGCTCCACTTTTAGGGGTGGAGTTAGATAAAGCAAAGACTACAAGCAAGGGGTGGCTAGATCCCAGACAAACAGTGGTTTTGTGTGGTTCAAGGTAATACATGCATTAACATGCAGTTCAGAAGAAGGAAATGTCCTTGCTTTTCTTCAACAGTTTGCACCCCCAAAACATTTGCGATGGTCACATCCTTAGTGAACCATGTGTGGTATGTAGCCTCCTACTGAAATGCTGTTACTTTTCTTAACCACAGATGTTCCTTTCGTTGTTGTTGTTATTGTTCCATTTTTGTTGTGCAAAAGCACTAGATTGTCCTGGCAGTATGCCAAATTAAAGATGTCGCCATTCCTACATAATTCATGTTGCTGTTGACACCAACATTCTTCTAATGCAGAAACAAGGGGAGGTTAAACAAAGAAAGAGCGGAGAAGCTTGCGTTTCCCTTGATCGGTGGTGGAATGCAGAATGTAAGACAGGGAGTCAAGACAGCTGCTGCCAGGAGGTGTGCTCTCAATACAAATCCAACTCACTTGCAGGACAGAAAGCAACCTGCATCTGAGGACTTCCTGCAAATCACTCTCAATTCCAACCTGATAATTGCCACCTGCCCAGATTTTAACTTGTCTGAATTAATTTTAAGTTGTATTTTAATTAATTGATGCCTGTTTTTACTGCATATTGTGGTGTTATTAATAATAAATAATAATAATAAATTTTATTTATACCCCGCCCTCCCCGGCCAGAGCTGGGTTCAGGGCGGCTAACACCAGTAAAATTACAGTAAAAATATGATAGCGGGGAACGGGACCAATTTAAAATACAGGTTAAATTGCAATTTAAAATGCAACCTCATTTTAAAAATAGCCCATAGATCAAAACCATAAGGGGAGGGAAACATAAGGGTCAGACTGAGTCCAAACCAAAGGCCAGGCGGAACAGCTCTGTCTTGCAGGCCCTGCGGAAAGATGTCAAGTCCCGCAGGGCCCTAGTCTCTTGTGACAGAGCGTTCCACCAAGTCAGGGCCAGTGCTGAAAAGGCCATGGTCCT